TCTGAACCCGTAAGTTTCAAATTCTGGTTCCACCTCTGCCACACACACTACGTTTTAGGCCAGATAAAATTAAGAGATAAAAAATTAAAAGGAATTCTTGGCAGCCTAAACAAAGAAAATTTATGTTACTTCATTCATTTTAATATATTGTCACTTCTTTTCTTTTCTTTTTTTCCTTGTTAATTTTTCACCAGTTTCAAGGAATATATATATATATATATATATATATATATATATATATATAGAATGTAGTTATTAAAGTTTAAAACTCAAAAACTCAAAATTATGAATTCCCTGCAATAACTTAGATACGGATTTTAAGGAAATATGAACAAACATAAAATTAGGGACATAGTGAGAATTATTAACAAAGGCCTTTGGACTCTTTCCATGTGAAAAAACAGGCACAAGTTTTCCACCAAGTATTTATTGTGGACCTAAAATTGAACCAACCAGCCAATTTGTTTCCACTCAAGGTGTTTAATAATTATTCCACGTGCATTAAAAAGAAGACTAAAACGTTTTTGCTAATTGTAATTTGTACCATACCATCGTGTGTTTTTGATACATACTTATATTACCGGTTTAAAAAAATGATAAGTGAAACAAAATTTGCAGATTTGAGTGTTGCCTTTCATTAGAGAGTGTTTTACCCTTTACATGAGAATTTTCGATAACAATCTAGATTTAATTGGACACCTATGCAAATATCCAACACCGGGTGAAAAATGAAAAAAAGAAATAAGAATTTTGTGCTTAGGCATGTCACATGATTCTCCATAACATCGACCTTTGTGGCCACAACATTTCTTCCAAACAAATAAAAGAATATATAAGCCAATTGATTGATCAAGACTATTACAACTTGTATTAAAGTGACTAATATGCCTTTCCAATCCTATACTAGTAACCTAAGGAGCAGGATCTTCTGCCCTTTGCACCATTTTGGTGACAAAGCTAAGAATTGGTAATTTACAAACAAAAACAATTTACAATCAAACCCAGATTTCAAAAACGAATTGGCAACCCATAATTGAGAAATGTTCTAATACATCCATCCCATCCAGCAGTGACAACCACAAGACCCCATAAATGAGGAGAGCTTAATGCACCTTGCCAAGCACTTTTCAAGAACTTGTACTCCGATTTGCATACTGAAGGGGTGACGGTTACTGGGCTCGAATTAGGCAGCTTCTCCTCTGGCCAGGTCGCGGTGCCCTTAGATAGAGAGTCTAAGAAAAATGCACGCCCCAGGGAAAAACAATCTGAAGTCTTTGGCAGCAAGTTCTCGTTGGCATTCCCATTTTCTAAAACGCTTGTAGGTAGTGTTCCCAGATTGGTTTTGAACCCGCACCAAGGTATAGCAACTGATGTGTTGTTGGAAAAGAAACTCTCTGATGACCGGACATGCTTTGGTTTGTTTGTAGTTGTCCGGCCCTGGCTAGTGTAGTTCCAGATATGAACATTTGAATCCTCAGTAACTGCAAGAATGTGTTTCCCGTCTGAGGTGAAAGATGCGGGAAATTGGCTTCCAGAATTTCGGATTCCTGGAAATGCAGCAAAAAATACTTTCAGAACAAAACTCTTAAATCTGCTTGGCGCCAACAAGGATTTCACATATAAGGCATCAACACACCTTTGAATTTGCAGATGATATCAGATCCACAAAGTATTTTAACTTGTGAGTCATCAGAAGTTACCATGACTTTGCTCGAGTCGTTCGGGCAGTACTGCATGAAGTTTACAGTAGCCTCTTAAGCGCACAAAAAAAGCGCACAAAAAATAATTCTTGTAAAAAAAAAATGAAAATAAAAGGTTACCTGAAATCCAGTTATTCTCTTGCGAGCAAGCTTCTTCTTTCCTTGAAGGCATACTTGAGAGCCCATCTGCAATCGATTACCTAATGCAAAGGAATGATAGTGCAGTGTCAAATGCCGAAGAGAGTAGATCGAAACAAGAAGAAACTAACAAACTAGCTTTCAAACATTTAGCTGTCTAATCTATGTTGAAGCTACACTACGTGAAAAAGTTAGAACCCCCATCCTAT